AACGAGACTCCCGGAGTCGTTGTTGGTGGTATTTATGGAAGATTTTGGCGGGTGGCTGGGTTTCTAGCTGGAGCTATTTTTTGGGTTGGTATATTGTATTCGTGCAAAAGTATGTAACAGTTAGAAGAAATCGTTGTCGACCCCGTAAAATATATATATTCTTGATCAGGGAATTACAAAAAGAAAATAATGTTGTTGAGAGCGGGATTTGAATCTCGAACCCCCTTTTTTTGGTATAAGCCGAAGTAGGCACATTTTTAATTAACACGCCTCACAAGAAAATAGTTCTTCTTTTCATGTTTGAAAGAGAGAGAAATTGTGGCTCGAACTTGCTGGTCTGTTGCGAACTGGAACGGAGTAAATTGGTTTTTCAGATTATCTGCAAATACATCTGCTATTTCAGAATCACTGTGAGCCCAAGTGCCATCGCTTCGTTTAAGAGAAAACCTGTGAAAAGGTTGTCTTTTCAGATTTCGTGTGCATTTCCATAATGCAAACCAATGATCCTTGTTGGTATCAATGGCACTGAGTTGATTCACGAAAAATTCAGATTTTGCCAATCGAAGGACTTTTTTTGAGTTCTGACACGGCAGCCCTCCACCTTGCCAAGTCCAAGTGTACGACCTTGTCTGGCTAAGGCTGCAATTTCAGGTTTCGAAGAAGCCCATGTTGGCGGCGGAATAGTTACACTTCTAGCAGGAGGGGCAGCTTGATGGATCTTGTCTACCAAAACCTGAGCAAACGATTCAACGTGATCCGTGATGACAAGCGGAGGGTTATCTTCAGTCAAAGCAGTGAGCCTGGCACTGAAACATCTGATATCCGAGCCCCGAGGTAAAAGCCTAGTTTTGGTGATAGGAAGCCACAGAGAAATATATCAGGAGCGGGATACGATCAGAGGAAAGGCCCGAACATGCAGAGATTGAAAGGTGTCTGCACGGGATACCTCTATACACAGCAAAATCAATGGGCGCGTTCAGCAGAACAACATGATACCTGATCACTGATGGATTTCTCACGATAGTTCTGCTGAACGCACATGATTACTAATCATGATGCAAGAATTTTGCATCAGTGACCAGGTATCAGGTAGCGTAAAAATAGTACGCTACCTTTTCTTGATACATGATACATGGCTTCTGGCATGTATCGATAGTCGAAATATCGAAACTTATTAACATAATAATTTGAATAAAAAACATAAATTCGGTTTAATTTTTTATAATTGTTCAGCCATTTTTGATATATTTTATATATCTACGATAGCTGTGGGCAGTGCTGCAGTTGCTGCGGCAGGAAAACTATTTTTTTTTCAATTGCGCGCGCACTATTTGATATATTTTTATACCCGTTACTCGTAGAGTAAAAGGGTATATTGTATTCGTGCCAAAGTACGTAACAGGGAGAAGGAAGCGTTTCCGACCCTATAAAGTATATATATTCTTGATCAGGGTCACTAGCCGAGTCGATCTAGCCATGTCCGTCTGTCAGTCTGTCCGTCTGTATGAACGCTGAGATCTCGGAAACTACAAAAGATAGAAGGTTGAGATTTTCCACACATATTCTTGGGCCTCCTACGCAGCGCAAGTTTATTTCAACCGAGCGCCACGCCCCCTCTAACGCCCACAATCGCCCACTAACGATTTTAAAATGTGTCCTACGCCTACATCTTTAAAGATTTCCGAGAAGTATAAATGCAATTTTGTTGTGTATACTTATACCTATCGAAATGTAGAAGACATTTTTCAAATCGGACCATTCATTAAAAAGTTATACGCAATCAAAAAAAGGATATATATCCCTCTCCCTCGCACTCCCTTTAGCCGAGTGACGGGTATTAGATAGTCGGGGAACGAACCCGACTTTAGCGTTCTCTCTTGTTTTACTTTTACGTCATTAAAATGTATTATGAGCGTTCAGCAGAACAAACTTGATCACTGATTACTGACCCATCAGTGATCAGGTATCATGTTGTTCTGCTGAACGTGCCCAATGACATTGATCCAGGGAAAATGCATGGGTCCCCCAGTGGCCAGAATCTGCATGGTTGAGCTAGACACAACAGTCATCAGAGTGTTTCCACGAGGGCAGGACCGTCTGCAACCCCAGAAGCTATGGTGTGCATTCCAATCAACTCCAATAATAAAGCGCAGTTATTGTGGTGCTCAGGTGACAGTCCAGGGACGATTTAATAATGATAGCAGCACCACCCCGATTTCTATTATCACGGTGGTTGGCGCAGTGCACAGCATATCCATGGATTCGAAAGAAAGAACGGCTGGTAAAATGAGTACCTGAGATTAACAAAATGTCAATGTTACGTTCCTGGAGGAAGTGCTCAGCCTCCAAGGATTTGCTAACTAGATTGTTAGCGTTCCATATTACTATATTTAATCCGTAGTTAGTCATTGCAGCGCGTTGACTCAATGGCGTGCTTGGACATCACGCTCTGTAGCATTTGCAAAATCATCGTCATGACTGACATCATTTGATCAAAATGTTCCAGTAGTTTTTCAATTGCCGCCGCTTGGGCATATACAGCAGCCTCTTTCTGCTTTTGTAAGTTATTAATAAATTCTAAGAGTGTGTCCTGAACAGGTTGTTCTACCACAGAGACACGGTTGACACTTAAAAAATTTTTTATGAGATGGGCCAAAGAGCCAGCGCGAAAAAAAGAGCCAGATTTGGATCAAAAGACCCAAATCTGAAAACCGTGCATAGAGGCCTTAGTAGTATTTTCAAAATTAGGCTGACTTAGCTGACGCAATAAATTTTTAAATGAATTTGATGACGTCAATGGCTGACTTGAGGAAACAGGAGGACGCAAAGGAAACTAAGCATTCTGGCTTGGCAGCAACATTTTGCTTTTGAGAACGTTGACGTTCTGTGGAGTTCCACAGTTGATGCACTTAAACTGATCCTCTTTCAGTGCTGGGCATTTATCCTTCTCCTTGGTGTCATGGTCGCCAGCGCACCTAGCACATTTAGGTGAAAACAGGCAAACGTTTTTTGAATGATTAGAATATGAAAGAATATGTCTCGTTTGGCCTTGCTATTTTCACCAGGAGGCTTATATACATTCCGAGGGTTGTGCCCCTATTCTTTAAGTCTAGCAATGATTTCATCATGGTAGAATGGTTACAGGAGCATTCAAGAAAATTTCAAATTTTTGTAATTATTATTATTTTCGAAAGTATTAAAGTGACACCAGAATTGGGTCAACTTGATGAACTTCGGATCAAAGACATTTTGAAACTCAATAGTGTCACATTGACACCTAAATAGGTGCACATCTATGACTATTTTCTTTAGGGTGTGTTGATTCAATTCCTTTGATAGCTACTTGTAGCCCTTTGCTACTTTTGAATCTACCTCATCTAGGTATTTGGCCACTGATCGATAATCTTGTTCGTCGTTTACCTGAATTTTTATTTCATTTATGTTACCTCTTTTTATAGAAGTGACATAGAACTTGTTGGCTCCAATTTGGTCAGCTATTTTTTTGACTAGCTCAGCACAATTTCCGTGACAAACGTAAAAGGGTTGTGGCATTGGTTTCTTGGCCGTGGTTGTTTGAGTGGCAGTATTATCTTCGTTTGTGTCACTAAGAATCGAAAATCTATTATTGGTCAGCAGATTTTTCGGCACAGTGATAGTATTTGATTTTGATACTTTTGGTGCGTTGGTTTTTCTAGAAGATTACGGGATCGATTCTAGTTTGTATTAACGTTCCCTTAGCATTTTTCGTAATTTTTTGTTGGGGGGAGGGGAGCTTGCCGGTCAGAGCTGACGATGCCGGGCGCTGAGTGACTGCAGTGGACATAGTTGTTGTTGTGTTGGTGGTTGTTGTTACTGTCAAAGTCACAGTGGTAAAAGCGGGCATTGTGCTGGTAGTTGTTGTTATATTGTTGGTAAGGTCGTAGGGGTCGGGGGGTTGCAGTTTTCGTTGTTTCTATTGACTTATCAGCTCGTATACAGAGGTAAGCTTTGTTTCTGATTGACGAAAGTCGACGTTCGTCTGGTTGTTGTTGTCGTGCTGTACTCATTTTAATTTATTTTTAGAGCTTGCGCTCTGACACGTTGGCTTTTAATGTATAATTTATTGTTTATATTGGTAATTCATTCTTAATCTAATCTTAAAATTTTCATACCCAAATGTTTAGAAAAAACAGTAAAATATGGGATTTCCTAAAAGATTTTAAAAATATCAAAAAACAAGAAAGGAAGTTAGCTTTGGCCAGCCGAAATTTATAAACCCTTACAGGTAAATTAAATACCAGGGATTACAGATATATTATTGCCTACTTATGTTGTTCTTAAATTGTCAAAGATCAAAACGCCTACTTTTTTCAAAGATACAATGTTTTTTCTTTTATTTTTTGGTTTAGATAAAAGTAGAAATAGTAGTCCGATTCGGATTGTTCCGACAAATGTACTACAATACAAATGTACTGCAATAAAAAGAAGACTTGTAGGAAAGTTTCATCGCGATAGCTTTAAAACTGAGAGACTAGTTCGCATAGAAACGTACAGACGGGCATGGCTAGATGGACCCGGCTATTGGTCCTGATCAAGAATATATATACACTATGTGGTCGGAAACGTCTCCTCCACTGCGTTGCAAACTTTTAACCGAAATTAGAATACTCCTTTCGAGTACACAGATTTTTATAATCTTAACATTTCTACAACGAAATATTGAGATATTTCTTATTTTATTGAACATGTTAAAAATTAACTGAATTATCTATTTCATGAGTCAAATTGACAATTCGCTGGTTAATGACTATTTTATTATTATATTGTTTAATTTTCCCAATCGATTTTTTTGTACTTAGTACCATGATACAGTAACAAAACTTGAGTTGTTAACTTATCATTTATTAAATATTTGCAATAAAAATAGAGAACTATATTTCTTGGCTTGGATCACTATAAAAGCCAGTTCATTTAATGTTTTTTTTTGAATAAGACTTAGACAATTTCAGATATTTACTTGCCTATGCATAATTTGCCGTCTACTGCTGACTTGTATCCGGCCGAGCACTGAAGAAGACTTTCGCAGCGGAAATGACCGTTTGTGTTGATGCAACGTTGATGGTTACCACAAGGATTGTGTTCCACGCATTCATTAATATCTGAAGGTACAGTATAAAAAAAGCGCACGTTTAATACAAGTTAAAAATATTTTAAACTTTGTTTATAAGAAAAGCATACACAAATCAATCGTTTGGTAAAGTTAACCAATATATTTTAAAAATATTTGTAATCTACACGAAAGTTTTCTGTTGTAGCGTGCCGAACGATTAAATTTTAGGTAGCGTACTTATTTAGTCACATCTAAAATCATTTTTCGTCACAAAAGTTGATATCAGAACTTTTGTACGTTGAAGGTGCGATCGTCACTAGTTTTTTACCTCGTTAAGAGGTGTTTTTATTTGATATCAGAAGTTTTTGTTTGTTTACTTTTGCTCACATAGGTGCTAATATAAACATTTAAATTTAAATTGGTCATAAATCATAATTTTTAAACTATTGTATTTTAACGAATTAAGTTAAAAAGGCGTTGAAGTATTTCAAAATACCTTTAGTAGTGTAGAACTTACAAACTAACGAAATTTAGCTATTTTTAGCTTTTTTTCCGCTAAAGTAGAGGCTTTTTCCAAAAGTCGTAGAACAAAAGATTCCTATATGGAACTCTTAAGTGCAAATTTTATAAAAATAACTTTAAAACGTGACTTTTTACAGTAATGTGTTATATACCAACATTTAAGGAATCTCAAGGGCTATACAGTTTAAAGTTTTCAAGAAAATCGTTAGAGCCGTTTTTGAGAAAAATAAAAAAAAGCTAAAAAAATTTTTTTTTTAATTGTCTTTTGTTAATATCTTTTTAACTATTACATTTACACAAATTGCATCCAGAAGGCGTTTATAGCATTTAAAAATACCCTTCAAACGAGATGTAGCTTTAGTAGTATAGAAGTTACGGTTTTCCGAATTTTAGCTATTTATAGCTGTTTTCCCGCTAAACCAGCGAGTTTTTCCAAAAGTGGTGGAACAAAACTTTTTTATATCGATGTGATGAACGTCATATCAAATTTTTAAAACTTAAAAAACATGTTTTGGACAAACTGACAAACAGAATTAAATTTTCATTTTGGGAAGACGAAGAAAATCTTATTTTGGGTATTTTCAATCATTTGGCTTGGGAGAGAGAGCGGTGAAAGGGAAAAAGTGAAAATTTCAAAATTTGGAGCTGTTGGGGCCGGTGGGGATAAATGCCCCCTCGCAATATTTTAGTTGTATTCCTTTTGAAAATACCCGTCGAATGAGGGGTCATTTGTCAAAATCCGACCCTCCGTTCAAAAGTTATAGCCAAAATAAGATTTTCTTCGTCTTCCCAAAATGAAAATTTAATTCTGTTTGTCAGTTTGTCAGTTCATCACATCGATATAAAAAACTTTTGTTCTACCACTTTTGGAAAAACTTAACTTAAATTGTTTAAATACAATGGCTTACAAATTATGATTGACCAATTTAAATTTAAATGTATATATTAGCTCCTATGAGAGCAAATGTAAACAAACAAAAACTTCTGATATCAAATAATAATAATTTATTAGCATTCGTTGTAGTCAGACGTGTTTTCTTTTCGCTATGAATTCTTATTCGTGCTCCGAGTGCAATGCTGAAGTCACAGCAGCGCGGTTTTAAGGCGGACCGTTGCTCTTCGCTTTGTCGCCGTACTTTTCACACTGCATGTGTTAATCTCCCTGAGGATGCTATTAGATTAAATATGCCGCTTTGTCGCCGTACTTTTCACACTGCACGTGTTGATCTCCCTGAGGATGCTATTAGATTATTAACAAATATGCCGAATCTACTCTGGCAGTGTGATGGCTGTGTTGTGAGTAATGATGCACACTCCAAAATCGATGAAGTGATGGAAGAACTTCATGACTTGAAGAGTCTATACATGGACTTAAACTCAAAGTTTCTGAAGGCTTTTCCCATGTCTGATACTGACAATAACAATGTCAGTCGGCGAAAAAAAGTGGTGAAACCTTTGGCTCCAGCTTCTTCAAGTGATCGCCAAGCCAACCATGCAGACCTGGTTCCCCCCGCACCAGTTTCTACTGCCGACAAATAATTGGTCAAGCTGCTAGTTGTGAACAACTCGACGTTGTGCCGATTAATAAATTTCTTCATATTGGTGGATTCAGAGCTCATGTAAAATCTGATTCTGTGAGTGGATATGTTGCAAATAAGCTAGGCGTGGATACCTCTACCATAATCTGCAAGCCTTTAGTCAAAAATGGAGTAGATGTCGCTACATTGGAATTCGTCAATTTTAAATTAGGAATACCAGAGCAGCACTTTCAGACTGTGTTTAGTAATGCATTCTGGCCGAATCCAATCAAAGTCAGTCGATTCGTCCATAGGGATAGGCCTATTGTTGATGGGAACGTCCTGGATTCGCACAATCATCATACATCGGACTCAAAAAACCTCCAATAATCGGCGCTTCTGATGTCGATTTTACTACGGCAAATTGTCATGATCCGCTTCCTCATCTTCATGCTACTTATTCGCAAGGTCAACGCCCGCTGGTTTCGGTATCGCTAGTTGCTACCATTAATCCCTCATACGTCACTCCCAGTGCACTCTCTTGGAGCGCATTGACAAATCAACAACATCATCAGCTGGATTCTTCGTTTTCTGTTTTGTCTGACGTTTATCAAAAGTTCTCAGGAGAAGATTTTGCACCAGGTTCCATCAAAATTCACGGTCTAAGAGCGCTCTGCGGAGTTGTGCACTCATCACCGCCAAAACAACAACAACATCAGCTGGAGTTGTCGTCCTCTGTTTTGCGCGACATTCGTCAAACGCTCTCTTTAGAGGAGCACCCATCATTTTCCATCACACATCTCACTCTAAGCGCGCTCTCTAGAGTTGTGCGCTCATCACAGTCAAACAAACAACAACATCAGCTGGAGTTGTCGTCCTCTGTTTTGCGCGACATTCGTCAAATGCTCTCTGGAGAGGAACTCTCATCATCTTTCACCAAGCTTCTCGCTCTAAGCGCGCTCTCCGGAGTTGTGCACTCATCACCGCCAAAGCAACAACAACATCAGGTGGAGTTGTCGTCCTCTGCTTTGCGCGACATTCGTTAAACGCTCTCTGGAGAGGAGCATCCATCATTTTCCATCTCACATCTCGCTCTAAGCGCGCTCTCTAGAGTTGTGCGCTCATCACAGTCAAGCAATCAACAACATCAGCTGGAGTTGTTGTTGTCTGTTTTCCGCGAAGTTCGTCAATCGCTCCCCAGCGAGGCGCTCTTATCGCATTTTATCAATATTCCCGCTCTAAGCGCGCTCTTCGGAGCTTTCCGCTGTTTACAATCGAATCAACAACAAGGTCAGCTGAAGTTCTCATCGGCAGCTTGGTCTGGCTTTTCTCGATGGCTCCATCAACAACAACATTGCCCTTCTCTTCTCAACTTGGATAGATATGCTCCCTTAACAGCGCCATTGCCATCACTCTTAAGAACTAGTTACTCTTCGCTAAAAGCATCTAACAATCTACAGGAATGCATGCATGATAAAATACGTATCAAAACCACTACATTACTGAAGGTGATCTGCGGGCCTACAACGTTGGGATCGCAAGATCATATACTTCCTATAGCATTGGACTATAATGCATTAAATACGAATCCAGAGGTTGTTGATCATGCTACAGCCCCGTTAAAAGTTTATTTTCAAAACATCTCTGGAATGCGGACAAAGGCGGAGCAAGTATACCTTGCCACATCACAATGCGAGTTTGATGTTATAGTTTTACTTGAAACTTGGCTTAGCATAAACTTTTACTCAAATGAATTCTTCGACTCCAAATTGTACCATGTGTTCCGCAAAGACAGAGATAGCACGAAAACCCACTGTGCTAATTGTAGCTGTTCGCTGCAATTTGCGCTGCTTGGCAATTGGACTTCTTATTGAAGATACCCTTCTGGATCAAGTTGCTGTTTCGATAATTGGAGAATATGAAACTCTGCTAATTGTGGCGTCATATATACCAACAAATGCATCTTATAAACTTTACAAGGCTCATCTGGAAAACATTACCGACATCTACAATAATCTGCTGGACCATCAACATATCTGTGTGATTGGCGAGTTTAATTTGTCTTCTTTCGGATGGTCCAGGATCCGGACCATCAATCTTCACTGCCAAGCAACATACATCAACCACAAGAGATTCTTTTCATCGATGATATTTTCAGTATGGGCTTAATACAAGTCAATAATATATACAATAACTTACATAAAATTTTAGACCTAGTATTTCCTAGCGCTGATATTAACTTTTCCTTAGTTCAATGTAATTCACCTATAAGCAATTGTGACATCCATCATAGGCCATTGCTACTAGGTATAAACTTTTATAGTTTTGCGCCTTCAGCTGAACATTCTCCTAGATTTATTTTCAATGAAACCAGCCTCTGTTCCATCCGAAATGAGATATCTGCCATTAACTGGGAATCAGTTTTATCACATATTAGTTTGGAGTCGTGTTATGACACTTTTTTAGTAATTATTTTAAACATTATTAAGAACAATGCTCGAGAAAGGGACCAAAGTTCATTCAAATTGCCTTGGTATACAAAAGGTTTAAAAACGCTTAAAAATCGATACTTATGATTGGAATAGACACTTGCAGCACAAACGTGAGTTTGAATTTCTAAATAAATTTCTGTACAATCAGTATATAGCGGATGTTGAGATCGGACTAAAAAGTAATCCCAACTCTTTTTGGCGATTTATAAATTCAAAGAAAAAACCTTCTTCAGTACCATCTGCCATGTTCCTAGGGAATTTATCTTCGCATTCAAATATAGAAACTGCAAATCTTTTTGCTTCTTATTTCAAAGTTATTTTTGAGCCAACAGGAGCCTGGAATGATTCTCAAACCTTAAATGCGATTACTCCTCTATTGAATTTAGCTAGTTTAATCGTGCTGGAAGAGAATATTCATAAGGCCGTTGAAGACGTTGATGAATCTTACACTCCGGACTGTGATGGTAAGCCAAGCTCGCTTGGGTATCCATTCGGCATTACTAAATTGGATAAAATCATATTTACACAATCGTCTTTACAGAGTGAATATTAATGGAAATTTCTCTGATTCCTATTTGGCAACCTCAGGCCTCCCTCAGGGGAGTGCTATGGGACCTCTGCTTTTCATTATTTTCATTAATGATGTGAGGTTCTGTCTATCTTCAGAGTGTCTACTGTACGCAGATGATTTAACAATTTTTAAGTCTATTAAAATAGCGACAGACTCACAATCGGTTCAACAGGACTTAGATTCGTTGAGCTCTTGGTGTAGCCGAAATGCGCTTCCTCTAAACATAAACAAGTGCTTCTATGTTACTTACAGTAAATCTGTATATAATTTCTTCACATCTCATAATATTAATGGTCAACCTTTACAGCTGCGGCAGGAATCCCTGGATCTAGGTGTGATGTTTGACTCGAAATTTAAGTTCTCAGCACACTTCGATTACATCTTGCCCAGAGCCTATGCCATGTTTGGATTTGTGAAAAGGAACGCTTCGCTATTCACTGATCCCTACACCAGACTTGCGCTTTACTTCGCATTTGTCCGATCTAAGCTAGAATATGCCGCTCTTATATGGAATCCCTTTACTAGAACTCATGGAAATAGAATAGAGCGGCTAAAGAAACAATTTCTGAAATTTGCTCTATTGCCGCTAAGATTGTTACACCCTGTTCCTTCTTATCACCAGCAATGCAAGCTTGTTCGTCTACCATCCCTTGCGCATCGTAGAAATATCCTGGCCATTTGCTTTATCTTTGATTTGGTGAATGGTGGTATCGACTGTCCTGAGCTACTCTCGAAAGTTGGATTTAACGCTCCTTTTAGGCAACTGCGGAATTTTGATCCCTTTTTTCTTGAGCTGAGGCGGACTAATTATTCCCAAAATGAGCCTCTCTATAGGGCTTTATCTGAGTTTAACGCACTTCCAGCTGATATGCAATCAGACTATTTCCCAAATAAAACCATTTTGAAACATAGGTTAATTAATTATTTTGTAAATGTTAGCACGTAATATAATTTGTTGGATAGTATAAGTAGCCAGTTAAGGTATATCCGTTGGCGAAAAAAATAAATAAATAAAAAAACCTCTTAACGAGGTAAAAAACTAGTGACGATCGCACCTTCAACATATAAAAGTTCTGATATCAACATTTGTGACGAAAAATTATTACACTCGTCATTAAATAGACTTTCTAATATTTTCTCATTTGGCACGCTGCAATAGAAAATGCCTGTGAAGGGAAAAAGGCTGCAATAGTTTGCTAGGGCGGGCCGAATGAGAAAATATTAGAAAGTCTATTTAATGACGAGTGTAATAATTTTTCGTCACAAATGTTGATATCAGAACTTTTATATGTTGAAGGTGCGATCGTCACTAGTTTTTTACCTCGTTAAGAGGTGTTTTTATTTGATATAGAATACATCGAGGTAAATTTAAAAAGCACTAAAAATGCTGCACAGTGTTATTAAGGAATAAAAATCCTAAAATTATTCTAGGTATGGAGTTTGAAAGATAAAGAGTGTCTCTTTTAAGAGCTCTGAGAGCTCCGGAAAGTTGGTCAATTTCAGCATTTTTCGAACTTTGAGGTCCTTTTGCTAATCGTTAAAAAAATACATAACATAATTTTGGCTCTCTTGTGAAATTCTCCAGCGAATGGGCGCTTTAATTTCAAACTTCTTTCTGCGTTTGTTTGCCACAGCATTTGGAATACAATCTTCATCAATATATTCCAATGTTACCTTAAATATGATTTTTCTAGTTACCGACACATGCACCAAGATTATTCCTATAAAATCCGGGAGAACAGTCCAATCGGGATATCGGGGAATTGGCATAGCTGAGACTTGAGTAATCCGGATGTACAGCTAATGGATATGGGTATCGACTATTATTTGCCCTTCGTGCAGGCTCTAAAGGTGAAACTGTAGTTGATGTCGTTGTAGTGGTTGAGCTTGTGGTGCTTTTTCTATAGCATCGAAATGATCCTTTCGTATTGTGGCAATCGTAGTTAAAAGGGCAATTATGAGTTCTAAGTGCGCATTCATCATCATCTAAAAAGAAAAGTTTTTTCAAATGTAGATCAATTAGCGAGAAATATTAGCAATTTTATCTGTGATTGACAAAAAAAAATACAATTTTCAACTCTTTTTTTTTCGTTTTTTTTAATTTTTAAAATTAGTACAAAGGATTCACAAATCCAAACCCGGACACATTATCAAATTTGTCATGAGGCTACACAGTAAAACCACAGATCGTAGCCATCGGCTCAGAATCAATAAAGGACAAGTCAACAAGGCGACTACCTTTATTAACCATTGTTATACCCGTTACTCGTAGAGTAAAAGGGTATATTGTCCGTCCGGACGAACGCTGAGATCTCGGAAACTACAAAAGCTAAAAGGTTGGCATTAATCACACATATTTTTTGGCTTCTCACGCAGCGCAAGTTTGTTTCATCCAAGCGCCATGCCCACACGTACGCACACAGTCACTTTAAAGGTCTTTCAAAAAGTCTGGCGCTCACATCTTTACAGATTTTGTAAAAGTTTTAATGCCAATCGAAATGTATAAGAAAATGTTAAAATCGGACAAGTTTAAAACGGCGAACGGCAAGGAAAACTAGCAGCCTTCAGCAGAAATGATTGACAAAAGGCTAGCTGCACTATGCCGCAGACAAGGTAGCGAACTAAAAGAGTTCTCGACTGTAAAGGGTCTAGTCTCCGATGACTTCATAAAATCATTAAGGACACAAGTCCTTTTAAAAAAGTATGAAAAATTTGAAACCCCGATAGAAAAAGGTTACATAAACGGTAAGTTTGTGACGACTTATGACTTTCTACATTTCGATTTTATTTATATTTATAAGGGAAAAGTGATTAGGAGACAGTTATTAAAGTTCGATTTTTGAGTTCGAATAAGTTGAGTTCCAAACCGTCCACCCCGGAACCAGGTGGCTCGGGGCAACCGATTTTTAGCCAGCCCTAGTTTATCTACCCTTGTTGTTTTTACAATGTCAGAAATCAAAACGCCTTCTTTTTACAAAGAGAAGAGAAGCATAACTAGAAGAAACTAGCATAGAAGCTAGATGGACTCGACTATTGATGCTGATCAAGAATATATATACTTTATGTGGTCGGAAACGTCTCCTTCACTGCGTTGCAAACTTTTGACTGAAATTATAACACCCTCTACAAGTGTATAAATATAAATTATCTCAGCAGTATTTATTTTATCTTGTCCCTTCCCCTTCTTTCAAGCGGGGATCGGACAAATAAAAGTCAACTGCAAAATAAAATAACCTCAGTAAGAAAAACCCGTCCACCTTAATTTACCCATTAGTTAGTGGAAAGGATTGGTACTTGTTCGACCCAATAGTTAGTGGAAAGGGTGGATCCTTCCAAACTTGTTTAAGGGGTTATATACCTTTTTTGAGCGAAAAAATTAAGGGAACTTTCGATTTTTTTCCAGGTGTGTAGCAATTAATTTATGACTCTGAAGTTATTATTTATTGATAGTACATGTTTTTATCGAAACAACAAGCGTTTGTTCTTGAAAAAACATGAATAATTTACGAAGTTATGGAACCCTTTTTTTTAAAGCGGTGACCACGATGGAAGTCCAGCAGGTCAACTGATATCAAAAAACCAAACAATTTGTATTAGTATAGTATTATTTCCAGTTCGTGAACGATTACACTATGCAGCATAAAAAATTTACCTCGATGGATACTATATTTTTGGATTTGTTACGAATTCCAAAGTTAAACTGCGTTTTCCAAAAAGTTCCCCGACGCAAGGATTCTTAACAAAAGGACCTCAAAGTTCGAAAAATTCAGAAATTTGCCAACTTTCCAAAGCTCTCAGAGGCAAACGGATTCATGGTTTGGTTAGATGCTAAAGTTTTTTAAAAGATACACTCTTTATCTTTCAAACCCCATACTTAGAATAATTTTACGATTTTTATTAAGGGAGAAACAAGTTTTAGAAAACATAGTCAAAAACATAAAACCATACAGCTGTGGTCAAAATAGTTGTAGTGTTGCCGTCATGTGTTTTTAAAAGTTTTTTGTTGTCACTTTTCTTATCCAATTAGTCTAATAGTACAATTATAATCAATACAATATTACCAGAAGATGAATTACAACAACAAACTTTTAAAAACACAGGGCGGCAACACTACTACTATTTTGACCGCAGCTGTATGTTTTTAAGTTTTTTGACTATGTTTTCTGGAATCTATTTCTGCCTTAAAAAAAATCCTAAAATTATTCTAAGTATGGGGCTTAAAAGATAAAGAGTGTATCTTTTAAAAAACTTTAGCATCGAATCAAACCATGAATCCGTTTGCCTCTGAGAGCTCCGGAAAGTTGGCCAATTTCTGCATTTTTCGAACTTTGAGGTCCTTTTGCGTCGGGGAACTTTTTTGAAAACGCAGTTTATCTTGGGAAATCGTAACGAATCCAAAAATATAGCATCCATCGAGGTAAATTTAAAAAGCACTAAAAATGCTGCACAGTGTTATTTTCAAGAATATTTGGTTTTTTCTGCATACAGTAACAATTTTTCCAAAAAGTTGATTTTTCGAGTTCTAAACATTTTATTTAAAAATTCTGATCTGCGAAATCAAAATTGGCGCATAAAAACTGAATCGTTCACGAACTCGGCACAATCATTACGAATAATTTAAAAAAAAATTGAAGAAGATCGATCAAATAGTTCTCTAGGGGATATTCTTTAGGATTCAGCAAAAAAAAATGTTCGTTTTTTTTGGAAAAAAAAAGTTATATAACCCCTTAACCCAGTAGTTGGTAGAAAGGCTAGATAAATCCAGTAGTTAGATCGTTCCTTACTTGTTCAACCCAGTAGCTAGTGGAAAGGCTAGATCCTTGAGAACCTGTGCAACCCAGTAGTTAGTGGAAAGGCTGGTCCTTCCATATTTGTTTATCCCAGTAGTTAGAAAAAGGGTTGATCCTTCCTTGCCAATGAAGTAATTCGGCATTAACCCACAAGAAGTTCAGCTGCGGTCTCGCCACAAGGTCCAGCCCATTTCTGACCCGCAGACGAGTCGAATACTCGATACTACACTCATCAGCTGACTAACTCCTCTGGCCTACGAGAAACCCGGCTGCGGCCTTGCCCGAAGGTCCAGCCTGTAGACCTGTGGATACCATCCATACTGTAAAACTCCTGGCAGTTCCCTTCTGGCTTCAAAGTGGGAAAAGCCCCTCAAGATAATTGTCAAAAAATCCCTGCTTACTTAAGATAAATAGAAATCGTTAGTCCAGTGACTAAGTGACTTACAAAGGAAGCGTCCGCATAGGAAGCTCGGAAAACTACAAAAGCTAGAACGTTGCGATTACGCCATTTCTGTTACGTAGGCGTATTAGGGCCCTGTCCTGAAGACATGGGCCGAGGGAGATGAGTCCGATGTTCAGGCACCATTTTGGCGGCTGAGCTCGACGGATGGGGTGGGTTCTTGGTAAGCATCTCACCTCTCCCACATAACCAGAAAGAATTATTAAAAGTGCCTGGGAAAAATAATATAGATCGTCTGTTTCGTCTGTCATCTGTCTTAGCTGCCCGTAAGTTTCCCGAATAGCTAACTCGAGCACTTAATCGAAATACGATCGGCAGCTTGTGGCTGTTACCCTCCCCTTTCACAAATCGTGTGCCGTTGGATCAGTGCTAGCCTTGCAATCTGATCCCTTAGAACGATTCAACTCATCAACGCGAGTGCACTTGGCTTTCAGCTAGTGTGAAAGTATGTGAAGACTGACTACAGAAATGATCCCAGCGCAAGTTTATTTCAGCCGAACGCCACGCTTTTAAATTGTGTCTGGACCCACATTTTTAAAGATTTCGGAGAAGTATAAATGCAATTTTGTAGCGTTTATTTATACCTATCGATTTTTCAAGTCGGACCATTCGTTAAAAAGTTATTCCTGATTAAAGTTTTATATTTCCATCTTCCTTGCACTCCCTTTAGCTGAGTAACGGGTTTCTGATAGTCGGGGCACCCGACTAAAGCGTTCTCTCTTGTTTTACCCTTGCAGAGGGTATTTTAGTTTCAGTCAGATGTTTGCAACGCAGTGAAGGAGACGTTTCCGAAACTTTCCCAAAAGTCTTCTTTCTATTGCAGGTAGTACATATGTCGGAACGAGCCGGATCTTATGGCTGCCATACAGGGACCGTAAATAACAGTTATTTGTGATTTTTATTTTAAAAGGCCTACTGAGATTTGTACAAGTTTTAATCAACAATTTAATTGGTTTTTATGCACTTTATAGACATGAACAAATATCAGTTAATTTGCTTTCCAGATTTGTTGAAATGCATATACTTTGTGGACAAGAGTAAAAAGAACGTTATTTTTGACGTTTAAAACCAAATATCACAGTAGTCTTTTTAAAATAAAAATCACAAATAACTGTTAGTTACGGTCCCTGCTGCCATAGGAATAAGTAACAAAATAATAGAAAAAACTTTATAGAAAGTAGGCTTTTTGATATTTGACAATGTAAAAACAACATTTTAGGTAGGCATACCTGCAAGGGTATATAAACTTCGGCTGGCCGAAGTTAACTTTCTTTCTTGTTTTTAAATTGTCATAAATCAAAACGCCTAATTCGTACAAAGTTACAAATGCCATTAAGGCTTTCGTGAAAGCGACGCAAGTCTTCAGTCCGTTTTGGAAGTGTTTGGGCAGAAATGTGGCGGTCCCAAGACAAAATTCAAGAAAAGTCCCTGCCAACGACTTCACTGAAATGTAAGCGCTTGTGCTTTCCCAGATTGTGGCTGAACAACCAACTCGGGAATTAAGATCTTCCAGCACTTCCAGCGACATATCTCTAGCAGACGAAGATTTTGGCATTCTGAACAAGATGCCAAGTCAACAAAAATCAGTTGTAAACGGTACCGCACTAATCTATAACATGTCTGCATAAATATGAAGGAACTATTGGGTTTAGCTTTGCATTTTGGCTGTCAAGAAGGCTAATTTTCACCCTACTAGTTAGATATGAAATGAGCTTTTAGTAGCTCTATTCAATTCCTTACCGTCACAATGTCCAGTTTGGGCATTCAAGGTGTACCCTGTGCCGCAGCTTTGAAGACGCTATAAAAAATATACGTAACAGAGAACAATTTTGTATTTAAGTAGTTCGTAATACCGTGCATATATATGATCCGATCGTGTTATCACATCTTTGAGTCGGAAGGCAGTTGTGGTTGTTTATTGAACATTCATTTATATCTATGAAAAGCCAAAAAGATATTATCGATATTGTAATATATGAGAATCATACTTACCAATGCACTGATTCTGGGTGACATCCAAATTAAATCCAGCCTGGCAGTGGCAGGAATAGCCACCCATAGTGTTATTGCATTCCTGGTGTTTAATAATATGACAATGATTTAATGTGCTATGAGAGCATTCGTCAATATCTGTACAACTTCCGTTTTTTAAAATGAAACCGCTTTCACATGATTGACTCTTGACCGCGGTACACTTTGAGCTGTCATCTTTGCATTCGTGATCATCTAAAAAAGTATATACATAAGTTTATTCTTTTTATTCATGGCCAATAAAGGACACACCTTCAACATCCACAAAAAGCTTTACATTTATTAACCACCTGTTACACCAAAAATATACCTCTATGAACTAAAAGATTTCAAATGTGTTATCGAAAAAAGTCCCCTACTAAAGGATTCTGGTAAACAGATCTCAAAGTTAATAAAATGCGATTTTTGGCCATAATTGAACCGCACATTCAGGCGATGGTTTTTTAGTTGACCAATTTATTTGACGACTTCAGCTCTTAATCTTGTGATACCAAATTTCTAAAAATATTACGATTTTTTTTAAAGTAGTTATAGATTAAAAATAAAATAGTAATAGTCAATAGTAACAATCATTTTGGCGAAAAATTTTTCTATAGCTTTAAAACTGTGAGCGTCACAGCTTTCGCGGCATGGGAATGGTAAGCTAATAAATGTACAGTGGCTCCATCGCTTAATCGGACACCTACTTTCATAAAATAAACATGCACAAAAAATGAATAAAATGGGTTAAATTCGTCGTTTTTTTGCTTTTACTTATACATAATGCTAATATCTTTCAAAAACATAAACAAAAATTACATATTTTTAACGAAAATACTTAGTTTTCCAACAAAAACAACAAAAAATCCGATTTTTAAGGTTCAACGAATAATTGGACACTCGCTGAATACGGTTATTTTTTATGGAACTTGCTCCAAACTTGGGGTTTTTGGCATTAAGATTACTTTGTAGTAGAGATTAAGAAAACAAACCATCACTACACTGCAAAAAAAAGTTGAAATGGCTCCAAGGAAAGCCATTTTCTGTGAAACTTCGTCAGTTGATTGGAAAACTCAAATCGGTTCACAACTTACCTAAAAATTGGACCAAACTATAACCAAACGGATAACTGCTTGGTCAAAAAGCACGATTTCCATACAAATTTCAACAAAAACGAAGCTTTCAGCTTAACAAGAATGTTCTCGAACCCATCTTTTAGGTAAGTTGTAAACCGATTTTTATAAACGATACATCATTTTGTCGGTTGTTTAATGCACTTTCAGATCAACAAAAAAAATATTAAAAAATAATTTTTTAAATGTTTTTTATCCTTTAAAATGTTAAGGTACTTTGGAATTATGCCGTCATTAACATCTTGATTTGGCCTTTCCCGCCTCATATTAAAATGTATCCCGGAACCTCATAATAATGTCCTGAACAATAGACATGACTTCTCCGACCAATCCAGTGCAGTTTTCAGTTCGAAATTGAGTCTTCCAATCAACTGACGAAGTTTCACAGAAAATGGCTTTCCTTGGAGCCATTTCAACTTTTTTTGCAGTGTAGTGATGGTTTCTTCTCTTAATCTCTACTACAAAGTAATCTCAATGCCAAAAACCCCAAGTTTGCAGCAAGTTCCATAAAAAATAACCGTATTCAGCGAGTGTCCGATTATTCGTTGAACCTTAAAAGTCGGATTTTTTGTTGAAAACTAAGTATTTTCGTTGAAAATATGTAATTTTGTTTATGTTTTTGGAAGATATTAGCATTATGTATAAGTAAAAGCAAAAAAGCGGCGCATTTAACCCATTTTATTCATTTTTTTTGCATGTTTATTTTATGAAAGTAGGTGTCTGTATATCCAAAACCCCAACTCTCTATCTCTTATAGTTTCAGAGATTTCCGCGTTCACACGGGCAGACAGACGGACATGGCTTGATCGACTCGGCTAGTGATACTGATCAAGAATATATATACGTCATAGGGTCGGGAACGCCTTTCCTCTGCCTGTTACATACTTTTCCCCGAATAAAAAATATACCATTTTTCAAAGCGTCTTTCCATAGAGAGCCACCCACCATCCACCATCCGTTAAACGGATGATCCGTAAGTTTGACTGACTTTGACCTGCTCATTTATGCGATAGTTATGCGATGTTTTTCGGTGCAAATCTGAATTCTTCCTCTTAACTGTGAAAAATAAAACGTTAACTACGAGAAGAGATCGAATCGATGGCGGGAACAAATTAAATAATGCTAAAGAGCATAGTTTTTTGACTGCAAACGAATACATCAATGTATGCAGGGCAATGCATTGCATACTTGTTATAGGATATGTTATAAAAGTTCAGGTATGTTTTAAAAAATGTAATATTATGCAATTATTCTATAATAACGAAATTTTACGACATTTTTGCTTAGTTGAACCCCCTGTTGCGATGAGCAACTGCTCTTCAAATCAGCTGATGTGGACGGTGCTGTGTGGGAACACGGATGGACTCTATGGGAAGAGGCTATTACTTTAAGAGTTACTGGTATAATAAATCTATGATTGCTACAGCTCTCGTTTTATTGTAAGGTGGGTTTTATTAAAATTAGCTTTGAAATAGCAATACAATTTTACCTTTGCATTCATCGTATTCACTCTCATAGTGATATCCCGGCGGACAATCCTTTGCTTTCACATTTAAGCAGTGGTAGCCACCTTTCGTGTTATGACAGTATTGGGATAACTTACACTCATGAATATTTTCCCTACATTCATCAATGTCAATGCACTTGTTTTCCAATTTATCTAAATTGTAGCCACTCGGACATATATTGGGTTGCATCGGAGAGCATGTGACGTTGTTATTATCTAACATAAATCCGGGGTGACACTTACATTGATATGCGTCAATAGTGTTTTCGCATATGTGGGCGCACAGATTTTCAATTTTCCCACATATGTCGTCTAAGGGTGAGGTAAAATCATATTTTATGCTTTTGGGGGAGGCGTTTCAACAACTTACCATCATCGGTTAGGACAATAGTACCATTCATATCCTCCTCAGAATCCAATTGACTTTCGCCATCCTCAGTTATAGAATTGTCAGTTATTTTTTTACCAATATCAGATTTTACGGTGGAATCTAAATCTTCATAACAACAAGCTCGATATGATTCAATTGAGGAAAGAAATGAAAATAATGGATCCTTGCAATTGACTTTACTAGCTTTAACTGCCAATCCAATTTGACAAGAACGACAACATGTTGCATAAGAATTAGAAGTTAAATTTCCTTCTCTGTCACACCGAGTACCGTCCAAGGCAGCAAGTCGACCTAGCTCACAATTTTGATTATCCAGTTCTCGAGAACAGCAGACTTTAAGTGTAGAATGACACAGACCAAGCCAAAGTTGTGGAATTATTATTGGGGCTATATCGATATTTGTGCAGGAGGCAGTGGTTCGCGCATGTCGAAGACCATTTATGCAGCATTTTCTTATATAATCCGATATGTTGTCTAAAAAAATAAAATTATATAAAGATAATTTCAAATGTATTTTTTTTACTTAATCCTAAAACATTTATATTAAAACACATTTTAAGGATGATAAACCACAGAATTGTGAATTTTACCAATCAAATAGTTACTCTCACAAGGGTATATTGTATTCGTGCTAAGGTATCAACAGGTAGAAGGCAGCGTTTCCGACCCAATAAAGTATATGGGACGTTCCATATCAACCCGGCCACCCCCTTTTTTGATTTTTTTTGTATGTGGACAGTACCACATTGATTGCAAAGCCCCTTGCTTCCAATATTTTACCTCATACCCATTTTTTCAATGTTACCACTCTTTCGCCGTATATTCGCGCTGAAAGGAAAACACAAAATCATTTTTAACCTGCGAACGAAATCACAATCAGCATAGTTCAAAAGCAGAAAAATCTGTCTTTCGATGGCCGATTACGAGAAAAATAATAGATTTTTTAAGACCGTAGATGACCAAACGATAGCGTTTTTAAAGTCTAAAAGTAGGATTTCGTCTAAAGGGCCAGTCTGCAAAAATACCATTATATTTTTCTCAAAAGGCCCGAGTTTTAACGGATTTTATGCCACTGGTTTCAAAGTGGGATCTCTCTTGAGGAATTAGCTATGAATTCTTTTCATTGATTTGTTAATTTTTTCCAAAGCATATACGATTATTTTATATTACTTATTAGCTTTTTCTGACAGTTAACTACTACAAAAACGTACAAAAGAATTCATAGCTAATTCCTCAAGAGAGATCCCACTTTGAAATCAGTGGCATAAAATCCGTTAAATATGGGGCTTTCTGAGAAAAATATAATGGTATTTTTGCAGACTGGCCCTTTGGACGAAATCCTACTTTTAGACTTTAAAAACGCTATCGCTTGGTCATCTACGGTCTAATAAAATCTATTATTTTTCTCGTAACCGGCTATGGAAAGACAGGTTTTTCTGATTTTGAACCATGCCAATTGTTTCTTTCGTTCGCAGGATAAAAATGATTTTGTGTTTTCTTTTTACGCGATTATACGGCGAAAGAGTGGTAACATTGAAAAAATGGGTATGAGGTAAAATATTGGAAGCAAGGGGCTTTGCAATCAATGTGGTACTTTCCACATAGAAAATTAAAAAAAAAGGGGGGTGGCCGGGTTGATATGGAGCGTCCCATATTCCATATACTTCCATATTACACTAGTTTACAAAATAATATTCTTGGTGTGCTCCCCAGCAATTGATGGCAAATTCTGTTAGCGCTGGACCCCTAGATCACAGAAATAGCACTTATTTTTTTTCGATGGCACAGTTTTTTTTTAAAGATTTTTTAGAGTTCGAAATGTTAAATTTCGGACTTTTTTCGAATTTCTTCTTATATCTCGGCAGATATCAAATCGGTTGGGCCAGTTTTAGTTTTATTTTAAAGTCGATAGATCAGAGTTTAACTTTGCCATACAGATCAATACGATTGGATGAGTAATGGCAGCGCAGAAGCTTGACAAAGAGGAAAAATGTGTTTTTTGGTCGTCTGTAAGTCGGCTGTATATATCGTAAAAACTCGAAATAAATCCGTTGAAAAATCATAATGGGTACAAACTTAAAGTTTACATCCTACCGAATAAAACAAGCCGGATATGGCCCAAATCCATGGAAAACTGGATTTATGGTGGATTTTTAAAGTTCGGATTTTTCCACTTTTTTCGGTTGACAGAGTCCAAATTTAAGATTTATCATAGGCGGCGACATGTAAACAAAAATGAGTGGTGACGGCAGCCGGGTCAAAAAATAGCTAAATTTAAAAGCTAGAAAATTATAAAATAAATTTAATTTCTGAAAATTCCTTTAAAAATATAAAATTGCTTGCGTTATGACTGTGACTATTTTTAACTAAGTACAATAGGGTGGGTCGATTTGGGACCCTAAAAATCGTACAGGGGGAACGTAATCTTTAAAGGATTCTAAGCCATATTGGCGAACATACTTATGGTCTAAAATGACGTTTGGCCCCCCCCAAACGCGAATGAAAAATACTGCTTTTTTGAGAAAAATATCATAGTAGTCAGCACAGATATATTACTGAATACACTAGTTTACAGCCGAAATGCTCCCCAGCAATTGATGGCAAATTCTGTTAGTGCTGGACCCCTAGATCACAAAAATAGCACTCAATTTTTTTCGATGGCACAGTTTTTTTTTAAAGATTTTTTAAAGTTTGAAATGTTAAATTTCGGACTTTTTTCGAATTTCTTCTTATATCTCGGCAGATATCCACTCGGTTGGGCCAGTTTTAGTTTTATTTTAAAGTCAATAGATCAGAGCTTAACTTTGCCATACAGATCAATACGATTGGATGAGTAATGGCAGCCCAGAAGCTCGACAAAGAGGAAAAATGTGTTTTTTGGTCGTCTGTAAGTCGGCTGTATATATCGTAAAAACTCGAAATAAATCCGTTGAAAAATCATAATGGGTACAAACTTAAAGCTTACATCCTACTGAATAAAACAAGTCGGATATGGCCCAAATCCATGGAAAACTGGATTTATGGTGGATTTTTAAAGTTCGGATTTTTCCACTTTTTTCGGTTGACAAAGTCCAAATTTAAGATTTATCATAGGCGGCGACATGTAAACAAAAATAATTGGTGTTGGCAGCCGGGTCACTAAATAGCTAAATCAGATATTTAAAAGCTAGAAAATTATTAAAGTGAATTTAACGCAAGCAATTTTATATTTTTAAAGGAATTTTCAGAAATTAAATTTATTTTATAATTTTCTAGCTTTTAAATTTAGCTATTTTTTGACCCGGCTGCCGTCACCACTCATTTTTGTTTACATGTCGCCGCCTATGATAAATCTTAAATTTGGACTCTGTCAACCGAAAAAAGTGGAAAAATCCGAACTTAAAAAATCCACCATAAATCCAGTTTTCCATGGATTGGGGCCATATCCGACTTGTTTTATTCAGTAGGATGTAAGCTTTAAGTTTGTACCCATTATGATTTTTCAACGGATTTATTTCGAGTTTTTACGATATATACAGCCGACTTACAGACGACCAAAAAACACATTTTTCCTCTTTGTCGAGCTTCTGCGCTGCCATTACTCATCCAATCGTATTGATCTGTATGGCAAAGTTAAGCTCTGATCTATTGACTTTAAAATAAAACTAAAACTGGCCCAACCGATGGGCCGATGGTGGATATCTGCCGAGATATAGGAAAAAAATCGAAAAAATCTTTAAAAAAAAACTGTGCCATCGAAAAAAAATTTAGTATTATTTTCGTGATCTAGGGGTCCAAATCTAACAGAATTTGCCATCAATTGCTGGGGAGCATTTCGGCTGTAAACTAGTGTTATCGCTCGAAACATTTGCACACCTTTAGGGCCGTTTTCTCGTCCGTACTTTAGTTTGCCTGCCGAGACAACGGAGCGATAAACAAAAAATGGTTTCCTCGTCCTTATGTTAGCGCAGGTAGCGACAAATTTTGTCTCGGTACTTCATCCACCGTTTCAAATTTTTGCGGTTGGATTGTGCACAAGTGTTGCCAGACATTCGAGTGTTGTCAAACTGGTTCCACTCTTCATTCGAAAACTGCTGATTCTATTTATTACAGTTTAACATAAATCAAAATTGTTAGAGTCATCCAATTATTTTTTAAAATGAATTCCCGAGCGATTTATCTTCAAACTCTGTGGGATATCTTTAAATTGTCTGAAGTGCGAACCTATCGGCGCAGATATCTCGACCAAAGGAATTACTTAGAACATTACAGTGATAAGGAATTTGTTAAAAGGTTTCGCTTGCGTAAAAGCACGGTACTATTTGCTTTGCAAAAAATTGTTTTGCGACGTGAATCTAAAGTAAAGAAGTAAGGGCATTCATTTGATATAATTAATTCCATATAATCAAAAACCTTTATTACAGGGAAACGTCAATATAGTCATGGGTTAAGCTTCTAATAGCTCTTAGATTCTACGCAAGCGGCAGTTTTCTTATAACTGTTAGCGTGGCCACAGCCTGTCGAGTTGTTAAGGAAGTTTCTTTTGTTATAGCGTCTTTTTCAAAACAATATATGAAATACCAGCATATTGAAGATCTTCAAGAAAATGTTGTTGATTTTTATGAATGGCCAATAGCCGAAAGTCATAGGACTTTGCACGCATGTAACAATTCAATTTCCCGGAGGCGATTCCGAAGACACGGGTTCTACAAGAATTGTCTCCTGTTCATCGGTATCATTTTTACCGCGAAACTTTCTTTCTGCCGAAATTGTTTTTTTATTAGTTTGAAATTTTGCTTATATCATCAGCTGTTAGTATGACTGATTTATGGTTTTTATACCCTTGCAGAGGGTATTATAATTTTGGTCAGAAGTAACGCAGTGAAGGAGACGTTTCCGACCCCATAAAGTATATATATAAAGCTTTCACAAAATGAAGATATTTCGCTCAGTGTAAGAGCTTTTGACATAAATCTTATTCTTTTATGCATACCTTGATCAGGGTAAAACCGCGTGCCGATCGGACGTCTATATCTTATAGCTCCCATAGGAACAATAGGGTAAAATCGGTCAAAATTGGAAGTTTTTCAGAATATTTCGCTCAGAATATAAGCTATTCACATGAAACTTTTCAAATCGTATTATTTTATGCTTACCTTGGTCAGGGTAAAAGCGCCTGCCGATCTTACGTCTATATCATATAGCTCCCATAGGAACAATAGGGTGAAAAATTTTAAATTTTAATTTTTTTCAATTTTAAAATATTTTGTTGTTTATTAATTCATGTTGCTATTCTAGTCAAGTTTTCATTCGTCATTAGTCAAGTTAGCTTCCGTCCTCGTTTTCGATAGTTTTTCGATTAATTTTTGTCAATGCGTTAACTCTTCTGTTGTGGGGCTGCCAGCTAGTCTCAAATTAGTGCGCCTTTTATTTGTAGTTTTAAATGACGGACGAGAAAACGAAAACCGATTTGCCACCTGGATAAATTTACCCTT